TGTATTTGATTAAAAGAGGTAACCTAAAATAAGAAATATTCATTTCTTATTTCAAACGGAAAGGAAGACTAGTCAACAAATAAGAACATGGTGCATTAGAGGTACATAATACTATTAATATCAGATTATTATGAATGTTTTGCAAAAGTTTTTTTTCATTAGTGAATCAATTTGTAATATTAGGATTATATTAATGTTAAATAAATCCAAAAGTTGGATATCCTGTGACTGTTTTATGTCCTCCTATGGTAATGAATCTTCTATCTTGAGTATTTCTGAATTAATATGCACAAATGAGTATTGCTATCTTTATCATTGTTACCTTGGGAGGCTGAGCTCTTTTTTTCAAATTGCATAACTAAATATTTACTCTGCATCTACCTCTGTGCACTGATGCTACTCTATTAAATTTGAGGCAAGGGGCATCTGGGTGGTTCAGTCAGTTCACATCCAATTCTTGATTTCGGCTCACTTCATGATCTCTTGGCTCGTGGGGTTGAGCCCCGCATCTTCGCTGGCAGTGCAGAGCCTGCTTGGCATTCTCTCTCTCTCTCCCTGTCTCTCTGCCCACCCCCCTTTCTCGCAAGATAAATAAATCAACTTTGAAAAAAAAGTTGGAGAATTGTAGTCATGGATCTTCCCTCAAATGCTTGTTTATTTTTTCTTTAAGTCACTTTCATTTTGACTCTGAGCCTCAATGTCCTTGTGCTAAGAAACCATCAATCTCAGTCATTCTCTGGACTCCACACACCATCCAGAGCTATGCAGAGGCCCTGCATCTTATTGTTCACCTCATACTACCCTTTGTTTCCCCTGAGATACCTTTTGTTATAACCTGTGTAGGCCCTCGAGGACCAAAGGTTCTGCTTCTTCTGTACCACAGAGTGGTATGGAAATCTCTAGTAGCACTGAGAACCCTGGTTGAGGGACCACACTCCCTCAGTTCCTCAAACAGACAGCTGCTTTGAGATCTTATCCCCTGTCAGTCATTCATTGGTCCTACACCTTCTTGGAATTTGTTCATTCATTTCCATCGCTCTTCTGCCCAATTTCAGTGAACTACTGACAGGAAAGTAGTTGTCTTCAGTCTATAGGAAAGATACTTTTTTCTTTGTGCCATGCAAAAATCCTCAAGGAACATACATTGTAAAGCTCTGAATCCTTAGGTGCCTGTTTGAAAGAAGAGAAGGAGGGAGGACAAAGGAAAAAAAGAGAGAAACACACATATCTCAAGAATTACCCTGGTACACAAAGATTAAGACATGGTTTCCAAGAGCCTAAATTCCAGTGGGAATGAGTGCTCTATAAAAAAGTAAAGTTTTCTTGTATAATTTTTGTAAAGCTATCTCTGCTGTGATTGTTTCTGTGCCATCCACTTTTTAAAATTTTTGCTTTATGCCCAGGAGTGAGGTCGAAAGAAAGATCCCGACTTCCAGCCATCACTGACCAAGTAGGCTCACAGGGAGTTCGAGTCCATGCCTTCATATTGAGGTTCAGAGCCTGAGCCCATTTCCGATTCTAGGCTCCTCCCTCTCTCTTCTGTCTCCCCTCCCTCCGTTCATACTCTGTCTCTCTGTCCCAAAAAATAAATAAACGTTGAAAAAAAAAAAAAAATTTAAAAAAAAAATAAAATAAAAAAAAATAAATTTTGTTTGCTCACCCCTCCTCCTTCTCTTTTTCTTTCTTCCTTCCTTCCTTCCCTTCTTCCTTCCTTCCTTCCTTCCTTCCTCCTTCCTTTTCTTTCTTTCTTTCTTTCTTTCTTTCTTTCAGAAAAGCACAGCATTTAGAGTTGGTGACACATGGCTTAGAGTTCTCTTTCCCTCACTTGCTAGTAATATGATCTAAGAAATCAAGTCACATCATCTCTCTGCACCTTGAGTTTTTTTTCTATTTGCAAAAATGGGAATAATGCGACTTGTCCATACTCACTAACAGAGCTTTTGTTAGACCAAGAAGGAAAACGTTAATGCTTGTAAACATGAAGTAGTGGGCAAATAGTGCGAGAAAAAACACAAATTGTAGAGTCAGGTGTACCTGTATTCAGTTCCCGCATTTGCCACTGACTAGCTTAATGTAATCTTAGTTTCTGTGTATGTACAAATCTAATAACATCTACTTTGTGGTCATAAGGAAGAAATAACATAATTTTTATAAATCTCTGTAAAGTAAACAGGGAGACATTCTATCCCCCTTTCTTAGATGAAACAGCTGGGGCTCAGAGAGTTAAAATTTGACCAGGGTTATACAGGTGAAAGCTGACATTAGCAGAATAAACTCTTAGTATCAAATATGGGTTTTGTGTTTTAGATAAATTATATCAGGTAATCTCAAAGAAAGAGTTCCATGTATGTTTGGAACATGACCTAAACATATGAACACACACACACACACACACACACACAGATCAGACTCATAGAAAGATTGTTTTTTAACATGCAGATATATTTGTTCTTGTGCATTGTTCTTGTCCAATCTCCTAAGTTTATCGTCAGCTCGTACAAATTAAAAAATGTGGTCCTATATCAAGTTAATGACTCAGGAAAAGGGAGAGACTGATTGGCTCCCTTTTCAATTGTAGTGCTGGTTGACTCACAAGGCCTGGATGTCATGATTTATATTTGATGAGCAATGTATATTTGAATTTTAAAAATGAAAGTCTATGGCTTCAGTCATGTATTAACCCAGGACATATGGTGGGGTTCACTTATAGTTTTATAAATCCCATGTCTCCCACTTTGTTTTGTGTTACACTTGACTGGTAATAATTTTTTCCCTCTATGGAAACTTCCTTGATTGTCAGTATATCTCCAATGGTGTAATCATTGTATATTAAAAAAATCATGTAAATTATTATCATCATCTCACATTTTCAAGAACATTTTTAATGATAAGGAATTTTTCTTTTTAATTACTGATGAGGACTTTTCCTGGCTTGGGATAAGGTAATCATATTTTAAGTGCAGGATTATAGACTTGATATTAAGACTTGATATTGAGCATAACAAGAAGGTAATTTATACTTTGCCTTGGATAAGTTTTTTTGTTTATGCCAAACGCCTAGAAATTTCGTTTTTAATTTCTTTTTAAAGCTTATTTATTTTGAGAGAAAATAGAGCACAAACAGGGGGGCACAGAGAGAAGGAGAGACAGAATCCTAAGAAGGCTTCATGCCATCAGCACAAAGCCTGATGTGGGATTCAAACTCACAAACTGTGAGATCAAGAGTTGGACCCTTAACTGATTGAGCCACCCAGGGGCCCCTAAATCCCTAACAATTTTAAAACTGAAATACGGTAAGATGCCAGATTTTTACCTATTCATAGATGCATAAGATAAGTATACAGACTGGGAAAAGAAATTATTCATTCTTGAGATTATAAGTACGTACTCCTAACAACTATACAAATAATAGGACTTCAAGTATTGTTTTCACATTACTGTTTATAATGGTGAAAAGAGTGTGTAGCCATGTCTTTTGTGTTGACAGTGACAGAAATGCAAGGTTAAGTTGTATTAACATACTTTTGTTAAAAAGCAGTGCTTGTGTATTTTCACCACATTTACATCCCTCATAACTTATATCTCTCTTCTTTTCAATTTTTATTGGACTATTTTCTCCATATTATTCTTCAAATAGCAGGATAGCTTTTCTGAGGACTTGATCAGAGGATGGGACTCAGCATGATTGCTGGTAGCAAAAATTCAAAGCATACTTGTGTCTTGTTTCTGCCCACTCTGCTGGAAGTAAGTTGTAGCGTTCAGGGCAGGGAAATGTTCACATTCATTGCAGGGATTTCCCTTGTGCAGTGTATTCATATAACTTTAAAGTTATATGTTTGAATATTTTAATAGTTTGGCTATATATTATTTTTTCACAGTATTCGATATTATTGGAATGATTATTTTTATTTTCGTAATACCATGAAGCTTATTGAAAGGGTACATTAAACTAAGAGCACAACACTGAGTGTCTTGACTTCCACATCGGCTGCCATCAATTAACTTCTTCACAAATATGTTTTTAATGGTCCGGGTCTGGTTTCTTGCCCAACTGAGACCTATTTTCTTTATAGTATGGCTCAATAAAATAGTCAAAAAGTAGGTTCAAATCCAATTTACTTTACTGTTTTTTTTAGAATGATCTAAGCATTGAAGATAGGCACCTCTGCATATTTTAATCTGTTGTCCTGGCAAAATTATTACTGGCAAATATTTTACTCTCAAAAGTGTCTTCGTTTAGATAATTATATGTCATCTTACCAGTTAGGTAGGTATTGATGGTATCTTCTTCTAGACTTTCTTTTTCTTTTCAGAGCCTGGAGAAACCTAAAGACACTGGGATTTTAAGTGTCTTTCTGAAAGATGTATAGCTACTTCATGGCAAAGCTAGAGTTTACTGTAGTTGTTTTGACTTTAGCTTTGAGCCTTTTCCAGTTTAGATTTTTGAAGATTTGTCCTGTGACTATTTATTGTTGGATATATTCATTCTCTTTCCCTCCATCTCTCCCTTGCTCGCTCTCGATGTTTCTCTCACTCTCTCTCTCTCATTCTTTCTTTGTATTCTTGAATATCTTTATGTGTAATATAAAGTATTTAGAGAAACTGAGATAACATGAGCCATACTAATTGTAAGCTGTCTCCTTTTGATGAGAAATTGTTGGAAATACCATTATCAGCCAGGTGCTGGAAAGCATTAAAAAGCTAGCAGTACAACACTGTGGCCAGTTTGACCTTTGGAGGAAAATGTAAATTTGTCTTGAATTGGCCACCCTGTACCAGAGATTATCATTTTACTGATATCTGTCCCGTTCTTTTGGACTGATCAATCATAATTGATCCAGATCTCATGTATAACAAATTAAACTCTCGGCAAAATGATTTTAATTGTTTTCCAATTACTATCAGCTCTGAAATTCAGTATGTGCTTCTAGAAATTAAGGTAGCTAGCAAGAATATTTTCTTCATGCTAAGTGGTAATTTTCTTTTTTCATGTTGGCTAGATTTTTCTAGATATGACATTTGGTTCAGGAGGACACACAAGAGCCATTCTACAGAAGGAGTCAGATATTACTCTGTATGCCTTAGACAGAGACCCGACAGCTTATGCAATAGCTGAACAGCTTTCAGAATTCTATCCGTAAGTAATACTCTTGTATAATTATTGAATTTTCATGCTGAGTTTTATAGAGCTTGGTTTACCATTTTGGCATTTGTTCTCCCTTGTGTGATGTTACGCTTCACTATGCTACATATTTTCTCCCTTTTTTCCTCAAAAGAATTAATGTAAATAATGTTTTAGTACCACTTAAAATGATATTACTGCCTTTATCCTTTCTGAATTCATAAAAATAAATACAAAAATGATTTATGGCTAAAATCTGAAGATGGGTTGAAATCCATCCATGAATAATGTTTTGACAAATAAGCCTTCGTTTAAAAAATAATTTTTAAAGAATTTATGAGTTACAGTTTCCAAGAATTTACTGAAGTTAATAAGTATGTGAGACTTCTGCAGAATTCATTAGGTCACATATATTAATGTAATGCAGTTGTTGTCTCTGAATTCTTTTTGAAATTCACAAGTAAATTTAGAGCAGTCTATCCCTCTGTCACAAATTAGGTGACCTTTCACCTTGGAAATGAATATAAAATATTGTCTTCCTAAGTTCTTCCTTAGGAAGAACTTCCTTCCTGTTCACTTCCTAAGTGAAAGCATCTTCCTTTAGAGAAAATTTTGGATGAGTTATGCTATGTTGTTTAAAAGTTATCAGCCTGAAAAAGGAAAATGTCTTGGAGTTAAGATGACTATCTACAAATATGTAAAGGGCTATTTTCAGGAATAAGGAATTGTTCTTTTCTCTTATGCTTCAGAGACTGAAATCAAGAAAATAGATGAGAATTTTAGAGGTAAATTTTGACTTGATGTAAGCCAGGGTCTTTTGATAGTTCTAACTGTCCAATAATGAAAAGGTCCATTTGGTAAAGTAGCAAAAGTATGACCATGGAAAAGTTTAATCACAGACTAAGGATAGGAAGCTGAATTACTAATGTAGAATAGTCTATTTTGAGGCGCCTGGGTGGCTCAGTCAGTTAAACGTCCGACTTCAGCTCAGGTCATGATCTCACAGTCCGTGAGTTCGAGCCCCGCATTGGGCTCTGTGCTGTCAGTCCAGAGCCTGGAGCCTGCTTCAGATTCTGTGTCTCTCTCTCTTCCCTTCCCCCACTCACACTCTGTCTCTTTCTATCAAAAAATGAATAAATGTTAAAAAAATTTAAAAAAAGAAGAATAGTCTATTTCACATTTTCAGGTCCCAAACTCTTTACAAATCTATCAATGTGATTAATTCTCCCAATAAAAATGTGAATAAATACACCTAAGTTTTTGTTAGCAGTATCAGAGGGTTTATTGGAGTGCCTGAAATCAGTTTGACCCCAGGTTATTTTCTTCTAAGAAAAATATGAGGATATGGTTTAATGATATGACACTTTTTTTTTTTTAAACCTACCTCTGTCATTCTGCAATGTCCCGTAGATGCATCTTCTTTAAGAAGATCTTGTATTAATTAGGGCATCCATGTTTGTAAAACATCTTAGGAGTTCACTTGTTTATGACCTGAACATTCATAGAATGCATGTAGGTCTCCTATTTCACTATCATAGAAAAACTGGATTTTTCTTAGATATTGTTGTTTCTAAAGGCAATGAGTTCCAGTTCAGATTTTCCAAAGTCTCTTATTCCTTCAAATAGCCTCCTATCCTCGGATAGAACTTAACATTTTATCAATTTTGTCAGGTGTAGTTTTTTATCTTGAGACTGTGTTTTCTTTTCAGTTTTCAGTAGTAGAAACCATTAGCTAGACAGACTAAATGATTTGCTAAAAGGCATATATGACTAAATAGAAACAAAGCTGAGACATGCATTCTGCCCCATCACCTAATATTATTATTATCATCGTCATTATTATTATTATTATTATTATTATTATTTTGAGGAATAGGTGACATAAATGTTATATTAGTTTCAGGTATGCATCATAGTGATTTAACATTTCTACACATTACTCCATGCTTACTATAGTAAGTATAGTTATCATCTGTCACAATACAACATTATTACAATGTTATTGACTCTATTCCCTAGGCTGTACTTTTCATCTCTGTCACTTATTTATTTTATAACTAAAAGTTTGTGCCTCTTAGTCCCCTTCAGCTATTTCACCCATCCTCCCGTCCACCTCTTCTCTGGCAACCACTAGTTTCTCTGTATTTAAAAATCTATTTGTTTTTTGTTTGTTCATTTTATGTTTAGATTCCACACATAAATGAAATAATAGGATATTTTTCTTTCTCTGTCTCACTTATTTCACTTAGTATTAATACCCTCTAGTTCCATCCATGTTGTCACAAATAGCAAGATTTCATTCTTTTTATGGCCAAGTAGTATTCCAATGTATATATACCTTTATCTCTTCATCTGTCAGTAGACACTTGGGTTGCTTCTGTGTCTTGGCTATTGTAAATAATAATGCAATAAAAATAGAGATGCTATTATCTTTTTAGTTTAGTGTTTTTGTTTTCTTTGAGTAAATACTCAGCAGTGGAATTACTAGGTTGTATGGTATTTCTGTTTTTAGTTTTTTGAGGAACCTCTATACTATCTTCCACAGTAGTTACACCAGTTTACTTTTCACACAGGAACGTTCCATTTTCTCTACATCCTCCTTAACACTTGTTATTTCTTATCGTTTTGATACTAGCTTTTCTAACTAGTGTGAGGTGATATCTCATTATGGTTTTGATTTTCATTTCCTTGATTAGTGATGTTGAACATTTGTTCATGCATCTGCTAGCCCTCTGTATGTCTTCTGTGGAAAAACATCTATTCAAGTCCTCTGCCCATTTTTAAATCAGATTGTTTGTTTGTTTTTGTTTTTTTTTTTTATTTGAGTTATATAAATTCTTTATATATTTTGGATATTAACCCTTTATTGCATGTATCATTTGCAAATATCTTCTCATTTAGGAGGCTGCTTTTTTGTTTTGTTGATGGTTTCCTTTGCTGGGAAAAGCTTTTAATTCCTCTCTCTCTCTGTCTCTCTCTCTGTGTCCCCCTCTCTCTCTGTCTCCCTCTGTCTGTCTCTCTCTCTGTCTCTCCCTTTGATGTAATCCCAATAGCTTATTTTTGCTTTTGTTTCCCTTGCCCAAGGAGACATATGCATAAATATGTTGCTAGGGTGAATGTCTAAGAGATTCCTGCCTTTGTTTTCTTTTAGGAGTTTTATGGTTTCAGGTCTCACATTTAATTTTTTTTTTTTTTTTAACATTTACTCATTTTTGAGAGACAGAGAGAGACAGAGCATCAGTGGGGAAGGGCAGAGAGAGGGAGACATAGAATATGAAGCAAGCTCCAGGCTTTGAGCTGTCAGCACAGAGCCCAAAGCAGGGCCCAAACTGAAGGACAGCAAGATCATGACCTGAGCTGAAGTTGGACGCTTAACCGACTGAGCCCCCCAGGCACCCCTCAGGCCTCACATTTAGGTCTTTGTTTTTAATTTTTTTTTTAATGTTTATTTATTTTTGAGAGAACGAGACACAGAGTGCAAGGGGGGGAGGGTCAGAGAGAGAGTGAGACACAGAATCCGAAGTGGGCTCCAGGCTCTGAGCTGTCAGCACACAGCCCAACACAGGGCTCGAACTCACAAATGGTGAGATCAGACCTGAGCCAAAGTCAGAGGCTTAACCAACTGAGCCACCCAGGCACCCTTCACATTTAGGTCTTTAATCTGTTTTGAATTTATTTTTGTTTATAGTGATCCAGTTTCATTCTCTGGCACACAGCTGTCAAGTTTTCCCAATACCATTTATTTAAAATACTGCCTTTAATTCATGGTATATTCTTGCCTCCTTTGTTATATATCAGTTGACCATATTATCATAGGTTTATTTATGGGGTCTCTATTCTTGTCCAAAGAGCTGTATGTGTCTATTTTTGTGCCAGTACCATACCATTTCATTACTATAGCTTTGTAGTATACCTTGAAATCTGGGATTATGATACCTTTGGCTTTGTTCTTCCATTTCAAGCCTAATAATCTCATTTTATTTTGTTTTATACTACCTTGACTCAAATCTAATTGATACTTTTTTACCTCATCCATAAGATAATTCTTTGTCAAGCATAATAAATTAGTTAAGGAACAATAGAGTAAATCAAAATAAGATAGGAAGAAGGGATTAATACAGATTGAAATCAGAATAAAAGAAACTAAAAAGAAAAAAGAATAAAGAAATCCTAAGTGTTTATTTGAAAGTAACACAAGTCCTTGATAGCTTGATTAATTTTTTTTATTATTTAAAAAAAAAAATTTTTTTTACATTTTATTTATTTTTGATAGACAGAGAGAGAGACAGAGCACAATTGGGGTAGGTACAGAGAGAGAGGGACACAGAATCTGAAGCGGGCTCCAGGCTCTGAGCCGTCAGCACAGAGCCTGATGCGGGGCTCGAACTCACAAACCGCGAGATCATGACCTGAGCCGAAGTCTGACGCTCAACTGACTGAGCCACCCAGGCGCCCCAATAGCCTGATTATTAAAGAAAAAAATGAGCAAAAATATATGATTAAGACTGTAGAGGACACCAACCATAGACACAAGATAAATTAATCATAAGATAATGCAACCATAATTCTGTGGTAACATGTGAAACCTGGATGAAATGAATAATGTTTTATCAAATATAAATTATTAAAATTGACTGAATATTATGAAAGTTGAGTAGGTCATTACATTATCATAACAGAGATAAGAAAGGTAGCTAAAGTATGTAGAACAATGTACCATGACTAGATTTGCAGTTGTTACCTAGTTCTTAAAAAAATAGGAAAGAGCATTGTCTTTTACACTATTCTTGATCATGGTAAATATGTAAAGCCCTTTCAGTTCATTTTATATTGAATCTAACCTAGTTTTAATATTTAATCCTGATAGAAATAGTATAAAAGAAAAAAAATAGAAAAAGTCTAACCTCACTGAAGAATACAGATGCAAAATTCAAAAGGAAATACTAGCATATCTAACTCATATATTATTTAATTAAAAGAATAATACGGGCCACCTGGGTGGCTCATTTGGTTAA